ATCAAGAGAGCGCGAGTTTTCCTCTTACAATCAGGTGAATTTTACACTTGAAAACGATGTGTTGCGTTGGCGATATCACCTGTGCCGCTGTTGTCCATCGAAATGCCCGAGTGGACGCCAAGGCATTCACTCAATCGTAATTCTGGGAGCCTGACCATCGAGCTCGTGCTCCCACAGGTGTTCCTGCAAGCTTTACGTTCCGTGAGATAAAATGAGCATTCACCGATGGTGAGGTCCAGCGCTCATCATACAGGGCTTACCATACGTTGTATAAAACAGAGGGTGGGGTGCCATTTCACTGGGAGGAATTTTGGAGCTGTTCGGCTTGGGAAGGGCACTTGCATTTTCGCTTGTTGCTTTCGTTAGTTCATGTGAACTAACGCGTCTTATTCCGGAGAGACGTGTTAAACCCTTGTGAAGCTGCGGAAAAGTACAAGTGAGCTCACTTTGATCAGAACAGTTTACAGGTCCTGACAAGTTGGCTTGTGCAGGCTACTGTTGAGTACCACTTATTCCTCCCCCTCTACAAGCCGAGCTGCGACAAAACTTTTCTGACTGATCATTTTTCCCATTTCACGTGCGCTATCTACCCCAGTTAGTTGGCGGTGCCTCAAGATTGCTGTCACTTGTTTCAAAGATGTTTTTGATTTTGATTGGGCTAATTGATTGCTACCATTACTGATGACTGAGACTGATTGATTGATTCCTGATCAGTCGAGTAATCTACCCTCCCCCCCCCCTTTCCGTCCCTCCCTCTCTCCCTCCCTTCCCCACGGTGCTGCATAGATATATGAACACATACATGAAGCCACAGCTACCGAAGCGGCTGTTGGCACGATGCCAAGCAAACTCGTCCAGTGTTGTTTTCTGCCAGCCATATACTCGTCCATCGTTCTGCAAAAGAAAGGCTTTTCTCCAGGTTATTAATAGCTGCACTTCTCTTTTTCGTCATTTCCCCCACTACATACCACTATGCCACCATTTTAAATCGAGTACCGAATTACGGTGCCTTTTGCCTCTGAACAAACAAAGAACCCTGCGAAATGAAGTACTGAGCACGCTTTCAAAGACATTTATTATAGCGACTCGAACATTTGTGAACTTCAGAAAGGCAGAATGCCTTCTGAAGTGAAGAACCGGTGCAACGTACGTCGACGTGATAAGAAAAATTGGACAGAAACGCGTCTATTCGCAGAATAGATGAAGATGAATAATACAACAGTACCCTTACGCAAAACATGCTCAGAAATAGACAAGTCAAATGTACAAGGAAAGAAGATCCTCTGTTCTAGCTCATATCTGGCTCTTTCGGATCCTCACTGCCCTCTGAACTATCAGCTTCGGACGGATTCTGAAAAGTTTTCGATGAAAGGACAAAGCCTGAAAATGAGATGAGTTGGGAGGCGAACTAACCGGAAGTTGCTGGGAACCAGCAGATTGGTTTTCAGATGCAGGAGTAGCAGGCACATTGTTAGCTGATGTAGGAACTGGGGGAGCAGGAGCTACTGCTGTTGCTGGAGCGGGATGAGCAGTTGGAGGAGCAGATGCTCCTTGAGGAAGTGGAGGCACTACTCGGCCTCTAAGTACACGCATCATACTCTGAACGGATACCTTCTGACGGGTGGGCGTATTTGAAGGATCACTGGCTGTAAAAAAGAAATTAATGCAACAAGCGAGAAAATCCTGAAATTGAAATTGAGAAGACCTTCACCTTCATCAGCGTGACTGGTCGTTTTTCGCTTGACCCGGCCTTCGGAGCTAATACAGATACATGCCTGACAGAATTTTGAAAGCAGAATATACAGGAGAGAACCTAACGGCTGCGTTCATACTTTGCGTCAGCGTTTTAAGCGATTAGGAAAGTATAATATCGATCTAGCGTTTTTAGCCACACCAGCCTTTTCAGCGAATACCCGCAATGTTCAAAACTAGCCGCGAGACGCTCAGAACGCTGGCGTATGCTCGAAACGCTGTCGCAAAGTATGAACGCACTCTGAGAGCCAGTCATAATTCACGACCCAACCGCGTGAATCGCGTGATCGGATCCCTCGTTTGGATCGCGGAAACGTACAAGAGAACCAACTATGATCGGAAAAGTTTACCGGTTCTGACAAGTTGGCTTGTATCCGATTGGCGCTCGCGATCCAAGCGATCGTATCGCGAAGTGTGAACGCGTTTTAAAAAAGATGCTCACCTGCTGCATAACAGCTCGTAGTATGGCAGCTTCGCAGCGCTCAATCATATCATCACATCCATCGATAATTCTGCAATTTTGCGGATACTGTTCTGCACAATTTTGCCCATACGTACTTCCTACGTACTTCCTGTAATTCTCCTCGCGTTCATTGGTTCGAATCATGCGAATGCTAGCACCAACGGCATCGATTCGCGCTGATAACAGTCCACGCTCGCAAAGTGCCACTAACTCATCTTCCAACTAAAAAAATATTTAAAGCTATGAGCATTTCACGACCAACTCAGTTCAAAAACGCATACATTTCGCAGGTCCGTCCGAAACACGTTGGCCATGGCGTTAAGATCAGCAGACGCGAACGGTTCCAGATACTGTAGCAGAGCTCGTTCTCGAATTACAGCATATAGTGGCTCAACATGGGCACTCAGGTAGGGATCGAGAAGGAACTGAAACATGAAGGAAATAACGACAGAAAACAGTGTGGAAGACAAAATCAGGGGACTTCACCCTATCTTTCATATCCTTCAAAATATCCAAAGCGCGACCAAATTGACTTTTCACAATGCAGTGCAGAAGTTCAACCAGTTTTGGCTCCGATTCCAAGAATTTCCTGAATATTTATTGATTTCTACGTCCGACAGGTTGAAGAAATAAAATACACAAAAATCTCACTCACCGACAGTTGGCATCACTGATCACTTTCCTTTTCAGTTCCGTCCTATCATAGCTTGCAATGACGCACAACGTGCAATACATGGCCATATCGGACGCAGAAAAGAGCCACGGTAATTCTAGGGCATCCAGGTCCACCTGAACAGTCAATGCCTTAGAGAAGACTTATCGAACACTTTTAGAAAAGAAAACGGTCACCTTCAGGAGACGATCTGCTGCTTGCTTGTAACGACCGGACTGAAGTTTTGATAGACCGCAGGCAGCATCCAGTCTAGCCTAAACCATTCGCTCGTGGTCAGGTAAGCACAGTCGGTAAGGGTGCTATATGTCTCACAAGGGGGCCAGACTGCAATCCTGCATTCAAGCTATAGGAGTCAGCAAATTGCAGAGGGGACAAAGCTCCGGGAAGGTCAAACCCCCTATCATTCAAGAAAGAACCAGAAGCAACGAACTGGTACATTCACCCCAGAGTTCCCTTCTCCTCCTCGAATTACAAGCTACTAGAGACTAAGCTTGGACTCTCCCAGGCGCTAGCGAATGACTGAAACAATAATTCAAAAATTTGGTAATTTCAAGCCAAAAAACAGAAGTCGGGCCCGAAAAGAAGGCTGATGAACGAATCAGTATGCTAGGTAAAAAGTACTCCACGACTTTTGTAATCCAACGAACCTTTCCAGTATTGATCAATGAGCGGGCACACTTAGGAGCACTAGCAGATCGTGTAGCGCTGGAGGAAACACCAAATATCACTGGTCGCGTACGTGAGGCAGCCGTCGAATTGGCTTGCTTAAATTGAGCTCTGCTATGATCGAAACAATGGAGCAGAATATGAAATAGAAACTGCAGAGCATGATGGATGTAACTTGTTTGCTGCGGATAAGGGGGGGGGGGGTCAAAAACGGTCAAAAAATTGGTCAAAAACGTCTTGGCGCGGCGCCAAGACCGTTTTCCACCAATTGTTGAAGCAGACAAGCGACAAGTCTCTATCATATTGTTCGTTTCCCACTGATAGTTATTGCTTACCCGCTTCAGCAACAGTTGGAGGACAATTTTGGCGCTGTGCCAAACTTGTCCCGCCTGACAATCCCCTTCATCCCTAGCGAACAACTCTATCCCGGCAGCAGAGCGCCACTATCGGAAAGAAGACGAATGAAAAGAAGCTCACCGTCTCTGCCTCTTCAGCCTCTTTTATGCTACGTTCAGCCTGAGAAGCGATTGT